GACATCCCCTGACAATAAACCCAATCTGGCTTTTCAGCGCATGGACTAAAATAAGTCCTCCCAGAAAATAAGCCTCCCCAAAAATATTTAAAGGCATGCACACCTGGTCCCCGCCATTTCCTCTGGTTAGGGTTAGGGAGACAGAGCTGGAAATCAGGTAAAACGGCAAGAGGAGCCCCGTCTTGCTCCACGTGCCCCCAAAAAATAAGACCTCCCAAAAATAAGGCCAAGCGCTTATTTCAAAGTTCAAAAAATATAAGACAGGGTCTTATTTTCGGGGAAACACAGTAGTACATGAAATAAAAAAAAGTTTGGGGTATATAGCTTTATTAAAATATTTCTAAAACAAAAAGTAAGAATAAACTTAATATAGGGGAAATGGATTACCTTTCTTCAACTATTACCTTTAATGGTTACCTCAAACTGAGATTCACTGAACGAAATGTGGCTTACTTTTCAGTAAGCACTTATAGAATTGTACTGCAAATTTGGCAACTGTATGAGGTAGATAGTTAATAAAGAATACATTTTGAAATTTGAAAAGTTAAGGGAATGTGTGGGGTTGCTTGCAATTAATACATGCAAGGGAGTTTGGCATTAGAGATTTTGTTGGTAATTTCATTGTATATATGTACATCTATATGATGTACAATGACAATCAAGGCTATACTACTACTACTGTCTTCAAACAAACTAATTGATATTGGTACTTTTTATGCACTAAAATGATGCAGCCTTTTAAAAATATTTTCATAGCATCAAGTACAAGGATATGTTACCAAAGATACTGCTAAAATCCAATAGAGAAAGGTTGGTTGGTCAAAAAGCTTAGTTACAACATTGCACCATAAATAATTATACAGATGAAAAATAAAAGGCATTCCAAGTTGTTTTCATTCAGCAGTTAAGTTGGGCTGCTATAACACTGTTTGCCTAAATCTTCCTTTATCCATCATCAACTCTTGAGTTTGTCTTGTCAAAGAAGTCTGTACCTTGAGATTGTTCTTCTAAAGAAATGGAACATTGTTTTGACAAGTTTTTTACATTTTGTTCTGCACATCCAAAACCTCACAGTATTTGGTTTTTATCAATAAAAATGCCCTTATTCTCTCACTTAGTCAACAGTGGCATCTTTCTCTACCTTCTCATTTAATAATGCAATTCCCTGCATTATTAGATGCAGAAGTTGTACTAAACCACATTCCCTTTTTTTCAGGGGTGAAATTCAGCAGGTTCTGACAGGTTCTGGAGAACCAGTAGAGGAAATTTTGAGCAGTTTGGAGAACCGGCAAATACTACCTCTGACTAGTCCCAGAGTGGGGTGGGAATGGAGATTTTGCAGTATCCTTCCCGTGGAGTGGGGTGGGAATGGAGATTTTGCAGTATCCTTCCCCTGCCACACCCACCAAACCATGCCCACTAAGCCACAGAACTGGTAGTAAAAAAAATTGAATTTCACCACTACTTTTTTCCCCATTATTCAGCAGCCAAATCCTGTCTTTATTTTCTCTAATTCTCTCTCTGTATTAAATTCATATTGTATTCACAAAAAAACCCCACTCTTAATACTTCTAACAAACTCCAATGTCTGCAGACAGTTCCCAAAAAGTTCAGAAGGTATCCTAGTTTTATACTGACCAGTTTCTTATATACTTACTTGTATTTATATTTTTAATAGAACAAGGGAAGAAAAGTATAGTGGCAATACCTTAAAATACTCAGGTTTTTTACCATTACTGATAGGTACTGAACAAAACACTAGTTCTATAAATACTTCTCTAATGGACAAATGGCAAACATGTCTAAAACAAAGCACACCATATATTTTGCTGACATTTAACCTCTTTTGCTCTTCGAAATCATTTATTTTCAATGCTTTCCATCGCTAGCAATCCAGCTTTGTGTTCATGCATTGCCTTTTAATGTTCTGATTTAGCTCACACTGCAGTGTAGAGGTAACACTTCGGAAGAGATAAAGATTAACTTTGGATCAAGTAACTGAAATGCATGCTACCCTTTTTGGCTCTATTTAAAATTTAGCTTCTCTCACAATCTTCTCTATTATAGTTTCACCATGTTTTTTTTATTAGAAAATGAGTTGGGTGAGGTTAACATTATTCATATTTAAACAAAATATAAATTAAATATTAAATATTCTATATAATGTACATCTTTAAATAATAGAACCATCATTTCTATTTTGATTTGATAAAAGCAATAATCACCAAGCACAAAACAGATGCCTGAGTTACAACTTGGACCTCAATCTCCTTCTCCACAGTACTTACAGAAAACTTTGGTTATTCTGCAAAATTTTAACTAGGGAAAACTCCTAAAATCACATGAGACTTTTACTTGCCCATTGCCTTGGAATTATGCTCCACATGTAATACACACATATATAAAATCAGTGGGAGTCAGACAGTATAAAAATTTAACAATAAATAAAAATAATTTTAACTATGTAAAGCCTAGCATTTTTAAGCCCTTAGTTCCATATCAATCAAAATGCTAAGAAATGTTATACTTTTTAAAAAAGAACTGCATCCCAATTATTCATAAATTTCTATTCTGTACCAATTCTATTCATGCCAATTTAAATAATGTTAGAAACAAACTTCAAGTCAAGTTCGACTTAAGCTGGAATTATATGAAGAAAGAATAATTATAAATAAGAAACACCCCTACAGCAAACCCCCCTAGTAAACTGACCACAAATAACAGCTCAGACAACAGCCCAGTAAGAGATGCTGCTGCAAAGTTGTTATTCATAGTGTTTGTTGTACACCAAGTTGCAGGATTGCCTATTTTGCACATTTGCTTCAATTTTCATGACGAAAGTATGAAAAGTTATCAATGCCTGAGAGCTTTTGCTTTTCAGATACCTTGTGGCAGTGACTGACCTGTTGGCTTCCATGCCTAAAAGAGGACCAGAACCTTGGTTATCTAGTCCATCATTTGAATCATGTACAGTTGTACACCCTAACCACTGGATCTCTATGCTGTTGGTAAGTAATGCTCAGAAATTAAAATGATCTTTGAGCATTGTTTTAAAATCAGCTACTTCTTAACAAACCAAGTACCTAATTTCCCCTCATCCTGAAACACATTTAAGTCCCAATAGAAGAGTATCTTTGTAACTCAGAGTTGAACTGTGGAGTTCCTCAAAGAATTACCAAAGCCATTATTGGCAGAGCAAGCCACCAGAACATAAAATGAGAGCAAACCCCTCTCTTCTAGCACTGATGATGTTATCTAGTTTGGTAATGAAAAGTCTCCAAGAAAACAACCAAGCTCAGAGAGCATCAAGGATTCCCACATACATTAAAGTGACTACCCTTAGTTGGTTCCATTCACCAGTACCCTTCTAAAAACACAAAATTGTACAAAAATGACACAAAGGGAAAAAGAAAACTTAGAAGTTCATATGCTTGTGTGATGTTCATTTACTGGCTAATAATGGTCTGGTTTCAGATAAGCCAGAAAAAAAGTGTTTCAACTCAAGGCTTTTTAAGACAGACAACAGCAATAATGAATAATTATTCTCTCTCTTCCTTACTGATGGATATTTCATGGAATAAAAAGCTGAAATAGTAGGGGTAAATCATAGGGAGTTACAGATTCAAGGCAGCATCTGGAGACTATCAAATGCTATTAGCAACGGATAATGCACATGGAAAACCTTATCTGAAAACACCCAGAATAGCTCCAGAGCACCAAACCGTATGTATAACTTGAAACAGGAAGGTTGATATTTAGGAAGATAATTCTTGGGACAAAACACTTCAAGGGGCTCTTAGGGAAATGTCAGAACATCAGAGGAGCCATTTAATTTGAAAACAAGGGTCACCCCTCCTCACTACCCCCCAAAAAGTGAAGTTGGTACTTAGGAAAATCACATTATTCCAATCTTTAATACTTTCTAGAATCTGAAACCGCATTTGAACAAATTTATATTTGCCCAACTTTTTAAAAGCAAACCCGGGAAAGCTGTTCGTTTTTAATGTAAAACCTTGTTCTACGTTTACACTTAATAGATGACAATATCCCACCATCTATTTACCACATCGTCCTCCCAAACCTTTAAAAAAAAAAACAATTGCTACCAACCTGTCTTCCATTGAGGATCTGTATACTGCATGAGTTAAAAAAAGGGCTGTGAAAATATCTAGACCCCTCACATCCTGGACATAAATTGTTTCAACTTCTACCTCAAAATAAAACTATAGGGCACTGCACACCAGAACTAGACACAAGGACAGTTTTTTCCCCCAAATGCCATCACTGTTTAACAACTAATTCCCACAACAGTGTCAAATAATTTACTAAGACACTATTACTATTATTCTTCTCTCCCTTACTAGTATCTATCTCTTCCCACTTATTACTATAACCATGTTGCTTGTATCTTTCAATTTATATTGTTTTTATTTGTTTCCTAGTACGATTTGATAGCTTCTTAGTAACCTTGACTATCACTAAGTGTTGTATCTTTTTATTCTTGATGAACGTATTTTAGTCTCCTTATGTACACTGAGAACATATACACCCAAAGACAAATTCCTTGTGTGTCCAATCACACTTGGCCAATAAAGAATTCTATTCTATTCAATTCTAAGCTTGGCTACCTACTTTTTACTAATGAAGAGGGAGGGGCGGCAGGGGGAAAGAGATCGCCTAACGACAGCTAGCCGAGCTGTCGAGTTTCTTCCTCGAAGATCTTAAGAGCAAAATTGGAAATCATCAGGCGAGGCAATGCCGAAGTTTGCACAGGGGAAGCCACCCGAGGAGGTCTTTCAACTCCACCACTTGGCGCCCTCCTCGCAAGGGTTGAGCTCTGTTTTTCTCTCCAATCCTCCCTTGCTCCTCACGATAAGCCAACGGGAGACCCGAAACCGCAGGAGATTTGCAACGGTCATGCCTTCCCTATACCCCGCCTCGAGCCCCCGGGCTCAGAGGAAGGAGGGTCCCCTCTCTCCCAGTCCCCTCCGCTTGCTCACCTTGCTCGAAGGCGCTCCCCCCGTAGTGAGGAGCAACGCCAAGGTGAAACTCTTCCAGGGAGCAGAAAGCGCCGAAGGCATTGTTAGCCCTTGCAAAACTTGGCCGAAGGCGGCCGCGCAGGGAGACCTTAGTCTCTTAGTTCCCGCGCCGCGGACTTTTTGAGTGAACTTTGCGGCGCAGGCTCGGCGGCATTTGTAAGCTCGGCGATGGCGGTGGGGGCTGGGGAGCGCGAGCCCAATTCAGTCGGAGCGCGGCTTCCCAGCCAATCGCTTCCAGAACAGAGTACGCGCCCTGCGGGTGGGGGGTGTCATGCCTTTGGATTGGGAGAAAGCGAAGCGCAACCGCGAGAGACCCACCCTCGCTTTCCCTCTCCGGCGTGAAGGTACACAGCACGTGCGCGCGCGCGCGCGCGCGCTCGACTGTCCGCTCCCTCCTTCTTCCTTTCATTCATTCCCGCGCGCGCGGCGACCTACAGTAATAAGAAAGCCTGCACCTTACGCTTCGCAGTGGTTGGGTATTTTCGTTTTTTTGTTAAGCCATCCTTCTAGGTTCAGGGCTGTTGCTCTCAAATGCTAGTTTTTTTGTTTTAATTTGATTTATATGCCGCCCTTCTCCGGAGACTCAGGGCGGCTTACAATGCGCTAAGCAATAGCCTTCATTCTTTTTGTATATTTATACAAAGTCAGCTTATTGCCCCCACAACTGGGTCCTCAATTTACCTACTTTAGAAAGGATGGAAGGCTGAGTCAACCTTGAGCCTTGGCGAGATTCGAACTTGCAGTAATTGCAGGCAGCTGGTCTTAATAACCAGCTTAATAACAGGGTGCCACTGTACTACCAAGGCTCTTGCCAATTAACTAATTATATCCTTTGAAAAGGCGCTGTGAGGATATTCTTCCTGCCAACGTTTGGTACCTAGGATTAATGCAATCCAGGGGCCTTTCTTCTAAGACAATGATCAAATAATTTTACAATTCATTAATCAAATTAGAATATTGGAAATAGAATAGTTTTGTGTAAGTTCTCCCAGAAACACCTTGTTCAGCCCCACTTACAAAATCCCTGAAGATGATAGGTGCCGTTACAGAGTATTCCTCTGTCAAAGTCATACTTTTGGCCCACTGGAGAAAATGCAAATACAGAAAAGAGTGGAAAATGAAGTCCTGTCAGCTTCTCCACCCTATGCCGTAATTAGAATTACTGCTTAATATCAGCTTCATCTAGAAGTATCTAAAACCTTCATATGTTGAACTTTATAAATACATTTGCTTTTCCCCAAAACTAGTCACAAGACTAGTGACTGAGAAATGGTTAAGGCTGAGAGACAAAAATGTTTTTTTCTTAATGTTTTTCCCATAAAGACATTATTCAAAATCACTCATGAGAGAAAGACACTTGCTCAATTTACTTTGGTGAGCTACTGTTCATTATCTCTTTGTAATATAACTAAATTCCACAATTTGTTCATTCCTATCTGCAAGGTTGGGCTGTCAGAATTTGAATGTGCCTTCAATAGTAAAAGCTAATTGTAAAAATGCTTTTTGTCTTTTGTCCAGGTTCTATTACATATTTGGGAATAAATTGTCCTAAGAACTGCATTCCAGTCCCAAGCCTGGATAAATGGGGAGGGCTGAGGTAAGATCTGGTGATCTACCTTGTTAAAATCTTGCCAAAAACTGTTATGGAAAGGTCTCAAATGAATTGAATATTGTGCTCAAAGGTAGCCTGGAAAGTACCCAACAAGTTTCTGGGGAAGAGCAAGATCCTGCAGTGAGTAGTCAAGACGTTAATGACAAACCCAGCAAGAATTCCAGATACTGATGCAGCCATTGGTGAAAGCAAACATCTGCGTTGCACAGTGATATATCAGATAGCAACATGGAATATCTGAGGAATGAGCCAGGGTAAATTGGATAACATCAAATGGAAGATGGACAGATTGAAAATCAGTCTCCTTAACATTACACTGGATTGACAATGGCTATTTTGAGTTTAAAGAATTCACTATCTATTATTCACTATCTATTAATCAAGATATGTCACCAGGAAAATGAATGGAGTGGCATTTGTCAAAAGCAAGAAATTCATCCAAGCAATGCAAAACTTCTAGATGGTTAATGATAACATTATAACCATCCAAATCTGTGCTAGACCCCCTCAGAATCACAGCTGTCCAAGTCTGTGCCCCAATAACTAATGCAAGAGAGGGTTTTTTGTCAGCATCAAAAAAACCTGAAAATCCTCTGAAGGTCAACATTTATGTTGCTAAGTGAGAAGTTTGTTAAGTGAGTTTTTCCTCATTTTTCCTCATTTGTTAAGTGAATCACTGCAGTTGTTAAGTTAGTAACACAATTGTTAAGTGAATCTGGTTTGCTATTGACTTTGCTTGTTTGAAGGTTGCAAAAGGGGATGATGTGACTTCAGGATACTGCAACTGTCATAAATGTGAGTCAGATGTTAAGCATCTGAATGTAAATCACATGACCATAGGGATGCTGCACCGGTTATAAGTGTGCTGTTGTACCTGCGAACTGTCCTGAATAAACTGTTGTAAATTGAGGACTATCTGTATCCAAAAAAGACATAGTTTATATTCTGGGTGATTTCTATGCAAAAGCAGAAACAGGCATCACTGGCAACTTTGGACATGGGAAGAAGAATGATGCATATAATTGATTAAATTTTGTCATGAAAATCATGTTCATATCATGAATAACTTCTTCAAACAGCCCTTGCACATTTGCATGTTTGCACATTTGGACTATAAATTGCACTGTAACCAGGTTGACTACAGGTAGTCCTCAGCTTACAAACACAACTGGGACCAAAATTGTAAGTTGTTGTAGTCATAAATTTATATTTAATTCATTGTGGCTGTAATAATTCAATAATGATTTATTGATCAGTAATTTATTCTTAAGATATTTAATAATGACTAATAATAACCAATTGATGGGATTACAAGGTAAAAACATGACAAATGATTAGAAGAGTAAGAAGGAAGGTGATGGGAAAATAACACTATGAATTTCTTTTCAATTGGCTGTCATAATGCCCCCAGACATTTCCCCAGATATCTCTCCAGATGTCAGCTCGGAGGAAGATGAACCAGTCCAGGCACATCTGGAAGGGAGTTGGTCAGTGGCTCCAAGCAGCCGTCTAAGAGAGATCTGCGTCAAGTACAGCTGCACCAGAACACCCCTGAGGCTTCAGGTGGAGAAAGCATGCCACTGCAGCCAGCCAGTGATGAGGAAGAGGAACTGCCTTCTACGCCTAATCCAAGAACATGTAGGGCAGAGAAAAGGCAGGAGCAGAGAAGGTCAGACAGATTACTCATGAGGAGAAAGAGTTGCCCTTTTTGATGGCTACATCAGAAGCTAGCTATTTAGTACAACAGACAGAGGGAAGCGATGCTGGGAACAATGTGTTCGTTTCCTAGCTGCATGTTTCCTTGTCATTGTGATTCTTGCTTTGCTTTGGATTGACACCATGCCTTGACTTGGATTGTGCCCTGTGAACTCCAGACTTTTCTTGGCTCATGAACCCTCTTGTATTGTGGATTTAATTTTGCCTGCTAGGTTTATTTTGACTGAGAAATTTTAAAGTGCCTTGTGTACTCATTGGCCATTGCTTTGTGGACTAGCATTGGTCTGCTTGTGGCTGGGCTTAGTTGGGACTGTTTTGAGTTTTTGGTGAAGGGAGTTGTGGGGGAATATTAATAAACCCACTAAACCAGAGTTGTTTGCGTGTGTGTGTGAGCAGGACAGCACATTGGCATCTGATGGACTTGAGTGCCACCTATCTTGCTGTACCTGTTTTCTCCTCAGCATCCCCTCCCACTTTGGGAGAACAACCTTTACTCAAAAGAAATTGCTGACCTCTGAAGTATAGAACTGGTTTCAAAAGAAGAAGTTATAGTTGTGTCATGCATGAATGAATTGTTATAGATTTGGAAAGTTTGCCCTGAATGAAAAGTGAGAATGACTATTAAAACATTTGTTGAAATATGCATCAAAAAGGGAAGGAACCAGCCAAATCAGAAGGGTAGCAATATATCAGATTTGAATAGTGCATTTGAATCTCCAAAATGAAAATATTTTGACCCCAGCACAGCTTTCATGGAATATGAAAAGGAAGGGAAAAAATCTAAATATCTGATCAATGAAATTCTTCCCTGCAGACTTATCAACATAATTTCATAATTTATTTATTTATATAAGAAATATTGTAGCTTCTGAAACATAATAGTTTAAGGTACTTTGAAACTTCAGTGAAGAAAACTTCTAAGAATGCTAGCCAAAAATTGTTTTTTCAGCCACTACAATGCCACTTTAGGAAACAGCAAATAAGAATCCAGACAGAGATAGTTTGTAACTCAAGGCAATGCTTGATTGATTTCCAGCAGTTGCGGTGGTACTGCCTTCAGAGGACTGCTGATTTTGAGTCTCCATTTGGATCAAAAACAACAGACACAAATGGGAGGTGGGGAGGAAGAGTATTATTAGACACCTGCCAGGGACCACATTAAAGCAAGGAGCTCATTGCCAACTAACTGGATTCTTTTGATACTGCTGCTCTTTCTCCTGCTTGCTATTTCATCCTGATCTGCAAAACTGTGAACTGTAAAAGGAAGTCACAGAGTGATCATTATGTCGCATGGAAGGAAACCCTAGCTTCTCTAAACATTCCTGCTGAATTGTTATGTTTAATGTGACAGAAGGGAGGGTGTTATTAATTATAGAAAGAGTAATTAACTATGCTAAATTACTTTAATTAAAATCCTACATATTGCTGGCAGGGCGTTCACAAGCCCCATGTGACCCATAGTCTGAACAAGGTTGTGTCATCCCATTTTGCATAATTTTATGTTCTCTTTCTGGCGAAGTGATTTTTTTTTTAAGACCAGGAAGGACAAGCAAATGAATAAATAGTGACAGCAGTGGTGAGAAAGGGATGGATTCAGGGAAGGAAATCTGAGAATTCCTGTTCAAGGCCCTTCCCTCTGCTTCAGTTCCTTAAAAGATACTCACTTAAATGATTTAAAAAGCTGTAAAGTGGTACCTCGGCTTTGAAACTGAATTTGGTACTTAACTCATTTTGACAGAAAATTTTGTTCCAGTAGTTATCATTTGTTTGGTATTCAGTGCACAAGTTAGAACTTGTTGTTGTCAATTGCCTCATGACTG